ATATTTACCAAATTCTATGTCTCTGGTTTCACACCTCAGAAATTTGACATTAAACAAAACTAGGAAAAATTACAATACGTTTTTGTTGTACAGGGTGTCACATTTTGCTGTTTCATATATCAAAATTACCCCTGCATTAAATTACATAACACAGAACACCTTGTGAATGTAACTCACCGTATATTGCTTAACAAGTTTCTCGTGGTCTCGTAGTCACACAAGGACTTCAGGATGGATGCTCGTCTTGTATGTATTTTGTCATCCTAGGGAGAAAGGGAATCCATAATGACAATATTTAGCTTTCAGGCAGCAGTTTGAAAAAGGAATACTTAGTTTGGAAGGACCAAAAGGCAAGTACTCATATATCTCAACCAAATCAGACACAAAATGAGGCAACCAAACAGGTTTGTTTTTTCATTTTGATCAAGATTAACCATGTGACTTTATCAATTACTTATTAACATAAGACTGACGCTCATATAATTCGTATAACAATATGAAAACAACTTAGGACTTTTGCCTACCATAAGTATAGATATTTTTACTCATAAAATTGGCATGTTATGGGCATAAAAAATTCTTAAACACAGGTCTAACCATTTTAGCACATACCTTGGAGATGGTCCCCATGATGTGTCTCATTTTTCTTCCAGCCCTTCACCTTTACCTCTAAAGATCTCCATCATGTGTAGTGTACAAGTCTAGCTCAGAAAGGAATGTAGATAAGAGCGGTAGTGTCGATATGCGCAAGAATTCCTTGTCAATCTGAAAAACATGAACATGACGCCAAAAAAACCAAAGAAAAAACTGATTAATAATAACAACAACAATACTACTAATACTACTACTACTACTACTAATAATAATATGTCAAACATATGAAACTTACCATGTATTGTTGAGGTGTAAGAATCTCAAAGCATGGGAATGTGGCTTTATTTTGAGACTTATTTCTGGGGAGAGAAATTATTTAATTAAAATACAATTATTACTCTTGATTAATTTGTGTTAATATCTACATACTGTGAAATGTGAAGACTGTTAGTCAGCCTTAATGCAGAGCACCAGAGAGCAGAGAAACTATGACCTGAACTAGGGGTGGGCGATATAAACGATATATGATAGAAACAATATAAATTTGGCAAACGATAGAGATTTTGACTATACCGCTCTATCGTGATAGCGCATGTTGATGATGTCATCAAGCTGCGCCTGTTTTGGTCGAAAGCATCGCAGTGGCTAAAACCATTATCATCTGCAAATTATGCCGACAGTCATAGCAAAGAGATGAAGCACTTTTGAAATATGGAGAAAGCTAAAAATTGCGCTTCCTCCACTTCCGTAACATTGATACATTAATGTTGAATTCTCTCACAGCTGCTCTATTCCCATGTTGTTGCAGTATATTAATAACTAACCTTGTATTGTGGATGAATGATCTCAGTTGTTCTCCTGACTGAAGTTTGGCCCATGTATAGCATCCTGCTATGCGATTGCATTTGTCCCTAACCACCAGAATACCTCATGTTAACTTTTATCGAGTAGAAAAAAAGTTGGCGTTCATCCTCCAGCTTCACTGTGCTAATGTTATGCTAACATAGCTGTGTTGCTAGCAATCACGTAGCACAACATTATATACCAGGTAGTCCAACTTCAGTAACCCTGCAAACGCCACTGCTGTTTAGTTTTCTCTCTTCATTTATGTCGGAAGTGGTAGCAGAGCTGTACGTTTTAATTAGTTTCAAAGATCTCTCAGTCAGAACATGGTATGTCATTGTAACAGAGTCATAAATCACATTGTTATAATTACACAAAATGTGTTCTAAACCCCCAAACTGCTCCTTTTATACCTGACTTTTAGGACCTCCAAGCCTGTAGTTGTGTTCATTATCAGTTAGAGCCCCTCCTCATTCTTTTCTTCTTCTTCTTTGGTGCAATACTATAAATACAGTGTACCCAGTGGCGGCTGGCCCATAGGGGGCGCTCGGGCTCCGCCCCCCCAAATGTGGAGGAGTAAAAATATATATTTTTAAAAAATTCATCAATGATAGTTTTACTATGTGTGTGCCCATATACAGCCAGGC